CTGAGGCCCAGAGCTTTTACGGAAGCCCCAAGTAGCGCCATCACGAGGCCGAGCTTAAGCCCCGCAAGTTGCTCACCCTCTATGAGGTTTGCCCTCAGGGCTCAAACAGGTTGGTAGTGTATTTTCAGGGTACCCTCTTGGCAAACCTAAGAGGGAGTTTGCTCTCTGTTTTTTTTGGGGGGGGGAGGTTCGCTTGGTTGATGTGTCCGCTCCTTCCGCCAGCGTGATTTGTGAGTAAAACTTAGCGGCGTCCGTCATAGCCAGCGCGCCAAACAAGAAGCGAATGAGTTTGGTTGCTCCTTTCTTGCCGCACTCAGGGAATCAAATGTAGATTGGACATGACCGTGCCAAGCCAAGACACACAGCCTCAAAGCTCCGCCTTTTCTCACCCTGGGAGTCCTCACGCGTTGCTAGAGACGGCTGTTGCCCGCGGAATTGTGTGCGGTCCAATGTTGCCTCTCATAGTAAAGATCGATGTAGAGCATAGGCCTCAAGGCGGTCCCTTTCGCTGTAGCATTGATCCGCGGGCGGATCTTAATGCTAACTTCAGGGCACAACCTTAAGTGCAATTGATACATAAAATCTCAGATGTTTTCTGACAAAGGAATGAAAGGCTATTATTGTTGCTGATTTTTGGTGCGCCGAAGCAAAATAGGCAGCTGAGGAGTCAGGAGGCTTTTCATGGGAGACAGACGAGATCTGCTTGGTTTGGCCCCATGTGTCCTGCATATTGAAAAGCGACGCCCCAAAAGATACCCGTTTTTACTTCCCAAAGCTGTTACGCAGACCGCTGACGGCAAAAGGATTTCAATTTTGACAACGCAGCCCTTCAAAAACGAACAGCAAAGCCCTCCCTCCCAACAAAAAAATAAAATAGAAAAGGGAACACGCAGCTTGGGCGCAAGTACCTTCCCAATAGACGTTGAAAGGGCTTGCCATAAAGCAAAGCACGTGCGCCGCCTAGACAAAGGACCAACAAGGCTGCCTGCTGTGGCTTGGCTGGCGGTGCTCAGCCTCTGCGAGTTCGCGCGGGTCTTGGTGCGTGTGGACTTAGTGCAAACAAGCAAGTTCCAGCCAGATGCGACTGCGCGCCAGCCATACAAAACCACGCTGCGCAAGGAACTTGTTGCGCTTGAGTGATTTTGTTTGCCGCTGCCAGATTTGGAGCGCGCCTGGCCACGTGACTGCGGCGATCTGCTGGACCAGCAGAGTATGTCAAAGCTGGCGGAACATATCCACTTTTGACTGAAGCTAGGTGCGCGCGAGGTGATACGATGCGGTGTTGCAAATAGCAGCAACGCCAATGTGAAAACAACAAGGTCTCACCACGCGCAGTTAGATACAGTCGCTGGGTGTCGGCAGGCTGAGCATAACTGCGTGCGCTATTAGCGAATTGGAAGACTAGGAAGCAATTGCATTGAGCCATGAAAAAGCATAATTCGCATTGCCCAATTCTCAGGTTTAGACGGGCCCCTCCCCCGCCTCCCCCCTAACTCCATGTTCGCCAAATGTTGCGAAACGCACTTAGCTGCGACAGATGCAAGGGCGGCGTTGCTGCAGTTTCTGATTTTTTTTGCTTTGAAGGTATCCCGTGGTGATTTTCCACACCAACAGCAGCCTCTCCTCAGAGTTGGCCTGGCTCCAAGCAGCTGCACCGTCCGTGTCCCTCAGCTTTGAGGAGGCGCCTCGGTCAATGTGTCCTGCCGTTGGGGGAGGGGTCTGGACGAGGGTGGCTTGGTTGGCACGGGTCTGACGCACAACGGACCCCTCACACAGTGCCCTTTGTACCGTGATCCTGCGAGGCCGGTTTTTTCTTGCAAGATGACAAACCCTGGTGCATCATTGCCTCCCCATGGCGTCCCGCTCTCTCCGCTGCGGCCTCATGTTTTTTTCAAGCGGAACCCTGCGAACATGACAAGCTTACGGAGAACCGCAGCAGGTGCGCCTGGACTTCCCGGAGGAGTTGTGGCGGTATCCTGGAGGGCCAGGGCCCTAAAGCATCCGAGCCCAGGCTTGAAGAAGAAGTAGGAGGGCAGATTCTTGGCTTTTATGGAATCACTCCGTGCTGCCGTTGGGCGCGTGAAGTGCCACGACATGCCTTCGCCAGTGCCATGGAACTTGGAATCCTTTGGCGGGTTGCACCGCAGCGCTGCGTCTGAGGCCCGACGCGTATCTCAAGCCTCCCCTGTGCATGCTGGATGGCCGACATTGGCGCCTTGCACAGAAAACGGTCAGGGCACTTGGAAAGGCCCTCAGCAGGAAACAACTGCCATGAGTCACACGGTGTCTCCGTCTCGCTTCTCATGTTGGACATAGATTTAGGGAAGACAGACCAATCCACTCAGGAAGGGAGTTGCTCCCGGGCATCTAGGGGTGTTTGTACAGATGTGTAGGTGATTTCATTTTTTTATCTTCAATCATGGCTGCAGAATTTGTGGTGGCGTGACATTTCAATGTGAATTGCGGCGAGGATGCCTGCCAATGGTGTCCCCAGTTTTTACATAAAAAAAACACGTGCAGATCTGGGTTCAGTTTCGAGCATGCCGCACGCCTACATCGAGCCTACGCATGAGAAACAGGATTCCCTCTGCGGATGCCCCCGCGTTAACCACACAAATTGGGTGCTACCCACAGTCAAAACTGGGCGCCATTTGGCATGGTTTCAGCCAATACGTGGAAGCAAAATCGAGCAATGTTGAGCCCCGTGTTGCGAAGAATTGTAGGAGAGAGCAACGTACTTGCAGTCGAACTCCTGCCAAAGGAACACAGGTCTTTCTTTGCGAAGCACGCACCCCCGAATATTGGTGGTCCTTGTTTTTTTTGAAACATGTTTGGGCCACTTGGCACTGGCTTCCCGCCAAACTTGTCCGAACTGTGGCGCGAAGGCTCAAAATCAAGCCGCAAGCTCCTTCTGCCAGATTACGAGTTTGTCGTTTGTATAGATGAGCTAGGCAAGCACAGATGGATCCGATGGAACTCTCCAATTTGTGGCGTGCTTATGCGACGGGCCCCAAATCTCTGTGAAACCCCCCGGGAGTTGAGAGCGTGTGCACGTATGAAGAGATGGGACATGATTTTACCCCCCCATATTCATTCCACCCCAAATGTGTCCAAACAACCAGAATCAGCGGCATTCATTCATTGCTAATGGTATTTAATAGTATACTCCAACAACAATGTCACAACATGATTTGAAGTGCACAGCCCCATTTGAAGTACTTCTCACGGCAGCTGGGGGAGGGAGCCCGAGCCCTTCACAAGGCCTAGCAAGGGCTTATTGGTCTTCCCCCTCCCCCCAGCCCCCATAAATTTAGGCTCTTACCCCTCAAATTCGAAGACCCACTAATAGTTTTTGATTGCACTCCTGCCTTTTGGAAGCCACTGCGTTTTGATTCATGCATTTGAACCGCCTGAAACTCCCTTCCTTTTTTTTTTTCGAGGGTCTCACAGGGAAATAACCCTGAAATAACCGGAAAAAAAGAGAGAAAACAAACAGAAATAAATAACCCAGAGACGGGACAGCCCCGGAGTTTTCAAGCCCGGAGCGGTCGCGACCTGCTCGGGGAACCGGGCCCCGGAGCCCCCGGGCCGGAGCAGGTGGAGCAGCCATCGTAGCTGCGGGTGTCGGTGCCCAGCCTGGCGGCCTCAATGCTGGCCGTGAGCCCGGCGGAAGTTGTCCTTCGTAGCTTCCCCCCCCGATGTTTTTTGGTTCATTCAGTTTTTCCTTGGCTGACTAGTCTTTATTTTGGAAATCATCTTGAATGATGTTCTGTCATTCTGTTTCTCCTTCCAGTTGCAAAACTTAAGGTGGCTCCCGGCCATCCGGCTCCTTAGCCTTGTAGCCTTTTAGTGTGTAATGGCAGTTTCCATTTAACCCACTGAAAGTTAAACTCCACCCCCTCGAATTTGAGCAAATGAGTGGAGTTTTGTTCGCCCCCTCCCCACTGGCCCCAGTCCTAAGCAAAAAGCTTCATTGCTAGAAAGAGAACCCCCTTTTTTTTCGCTCATTCTGTTTCTCCTTCTTCCATTTGCTTTTGACGAGTCTTTATTTTCCACTGTCTGTCACAGGAAATATGCTTTCCGGGGGACTTAAGCAAATGGGGGCTTTGTGTTTTCCCCCCCCCCCCGTTGTTTTTGTGTTCTGGGCTGTTTGTTCTGGCTTTTTTGTTTTTTTGCTTTGAGAAGCCCCGAGACTTCAGTGGTTCCACTGGTTTAATGTTTCTCTGGGTTTCGGGGGCAGCCCCAGGCGGTTTGGTTTCCTGTCGGGCTCCTGAAAGTAGACACGTCCGAAACGGGGAGCCCAACATGTTGCTTCTCGTTTCTTTGGGTTGGGGTGTGGGTGAGCGCCCCAAACCGCAGAAAGCTTGGCAAAGCGATTACTTTTGGGGGTGGGTGGTTTGGCTCAAAATTAAACAGGAGGGGTTACGCAGGTTTTGGTCCATGTTTCCACTTACCACGGTTCCAGTTTTGTCTGGTTTTTTGAGCCGCAGCCACATGGATAATTGCGGTCGCTTTAACGGATCAAGGGGTCCCTAAGTTCAAGAAGCACGGAGGATTTTTTCAACAGCCCCAAAAACGCCGGGAATGCCACAAGGAAGGTGCTTGCAAATTGATCCCAAGTGTCCACCCTGTGCGGGCAGCCAGATGTCGGAACTGCTCGTTTATTGGAGCTATTACCTTTGGTCTTTAAATATGGTCGTTAAAGATGTGGCCGAATCATCTTGTGATTGACGGGGGGTTTGCCATGACTCTGCGTTTGCGAGCCAAGTTCTCCGAAGGCGTTTCCTTGTAGAGAACGTTGGAGCAAGCTTGTGACTCACCCAGCTCCCGCATAGAGCAGCGATCACTGCCATCGAATACGGAGCCGTTCCTGCACCGCAGTGAATTGGGGCAGGAAGTGGGTCTGAACAACTGCTTTGTCCAGACCCTTGGATGGGATTCACTGCCCAACACATGGCAAACAAATGTTGTGTCGAATTTGTATGTTTTCTTCATGTGAGGTGTCCATTGTTTGGCTTGTCCATTTTGATTCTTTTGGGTCTTGAGTCATTCCTTCCAGCAAGATCTCGCACAACATGCGACTCTGCCTGTCGGCTGCTGTCCTGCTGGGCTGCGTTTCGGCGGAGCCAGACAAGGAGGCGGCTGGGCTGAGGGTAGTTCAAAGGGATGCCTGTTTGTATTTTCTCACGTGTCATCTGAGAGTTGCGCGTGCCTCAAACTTACGGAAGTTGCGGAAGTTACTTTTAAGCCCCTGTGTTACTTGTCGTGTCCATACTCAGGTCAGCACACTGTCGAACCTCTTTGTTGCCTGGTCGCTTCATCATATCAGGCGAGGTCCAAAAAGTTTATATAAGCACGTCGCGGCCGATCAACACTGGTCAGTTTTCCAGGATCGTTGTGACGGAAATCCAAAATTGGATCACTTTCCTTGGACACGAACACAGGAGTTCCCACCCGCCATTCCGCTCACTGAGCGGGTTTCTCTTTTCTGCTAGATAGCCCCCTTCGGAGTACAAGGGAATCACGTATGGAGGGGGCCTGCGATGTTGTTTGTTCCTCCATACAAAAACAGAGAGATGACTACAAGTAGAATGAATCGAATTATGTGGATTTGTTTTGAACTTGGTTGAGGGGTCCCAAGAGTTTCCTGACTGCAAGAGGCCTGTTTGTCGGTGTTGCCCGTTTGCGATTCATTTGAATCAACGATTGTAATATATCTCCATCGTCAAAGCGTTGTTTCATCTTAAGTCCTTTGTTCTTGGGTCGCAGTAAGCCAACCACCCCTTTTTGGGCGGTTTGGACATCACTTCTTTGGTGCATTTTGCTTGGCTGTTAGGACTTTAACTTTTTGCCAACTAATGGGTGTTCCACTAAACCACTAAAATTATTCACGTTTAGCAGGGCTTCGCAGATTCGCAACCGAGACTTGTTGATATAGTTGCAGGAAGCCTGCCGTTCTTGGTCTTAGCTTCGGGCCTGTGGCTCCCTAGCTGTGTAGGGTTTTTTTTTTGTTCGTCCGGGGGTTTCTGGCCTGCTCGGGTGTTGAGGTCCACCTGGGAACACCAGAGCTCAGGTGTTGCGGGCTAAAACCTGGGACCACCAGTTTTCTCAGATGGCCACCACCTACTTATCTTGCAACAAGGGTCCGCAGCTGAGGTCCTAGCGCACTATGGAAGCTTTGAAGCTCCCAGCCTCACGGACCGCTCGCTCCGATCCGATCTGGGCGGAGATTGGACTCCCGGGACCCGGGCGCGAAAGCCCGGTGGGTGGACCGGACCTGCGTAGCTGAAGACATGGGGCATTCCAATGACCCGCCAAGAAGCGGTTCCGGGCCGCACAGATGTTGTCATCCGATGTTGGAACATGCCCGCTGAACTGTGCTTTTTTAACAGCCAGATGCTGACACGTCCGGGGCAGCACTGCCATTTCTCATTTCGAGTTGCAGGCATAGGCATTCCCTTTACACAGCTGCACATCCAGCAGAGCTTGGGCAAACATGGCACAATTACCCCCATCCCGATTCCCCTTCGTCAGAAAGGGAATTGTGCCACCTGCTTTTACCCTGATGGTGGCAGTTAGTAGGCATTGTTGGTGAGCCGCAATCAAAGCAACATAAGTGAAGGACAGTAGGAATCAGCCTCTATCATGAATGGGTATGGACAGCCTTCTCCATGGGTTTCAGGGCAGGCTCCTTCAATACCACGCTTCGATCCATGCGAGCTGAAGCAACCCATGGAAGGTGGGGATAATGACCTTGAGGCCTTTAAGCTCTGTCTGGCCCATCCTGATGGCACCCGATGGGTCCATCCCCGAGTTTAAAGCCAAAGTATCCTCCCACCAGAATCATGGATCCTGACAGCGCGTCCCTTGAAAAGGAAAACAGCCCAAACCTGGACCCCAAACTCCAAACCATCAGGTTCCATTTCAATGGGTGGGAGGGGAAGCCACAATAAGGAAACAATGTGTAGAGTGTTTAAGCGCGACGGTGGTGTCCTGGCAAAATTTGTCGGGTCAACGGGGGAGGAACACGCCCCACTCCCTTCTTTGTTCAGGCTCTTTTGGTAAAGCTTTGCTGCAGTCACATCGTGTTCGAATTCTGTAGGCCTTAGATAGAATAAGCACCCATGTTTCACCCTCCAGTTGTTTGACAGCTTGGGGTTGAACCTTTGGGGCGCCTGAAGGAGAGGGGGGTCCCCCCCAAACCTCCCAAACCAATCCAAACCATGTTGCAAGGGGAGGCCGACCCCATTCGAACTATTTATTTTGCAAGCCCTCGCTTTGCTTCTGCAGCAATTTCGTTGCAATCCGTGGGCCCTCATCCTCGTGGATTCAGGTTACCCAGACCTGGATCTCTGTTGGCAGAAATTTCGGCGCGTTTTCTCAACGCATAAATGTCCGCGATTGTTTGGAACATGGGGAAGAAGTGCCCGAGCCAAGAAAAAAACGCCGTCATCACAACACTACAGATTGATGCATACTATGTTCTCAGCCTTTAATGGTGGCCAATGTGTTTGCAATTGTTCTGACCGATGCGCACTTCAAAGGGTGACACCACCAATCCATTTGGAACCCTTCTTGCCAGCAAAGGTTGCGGAAAGGTCTAGGCCGATTGTTTACCCTTGCCCGCCCGGCCCGTCTCAGTGCTTCGTGGGCTTTTGGTCAGAGCAGTCGCGACGTGCCACTGAAAGGATCGCCTCACAGGCAGATCAAAAAAGGGGTGGACACCCGCTGTTTGTTGACCCGACAATTTCCGCCAGTTTCCTGGAGCGCGCAACCACTCCCAACCACCAACCCCCAACCTCCCACCTCCCACCTCACCCCACCACAACCCACTCCGCCCACTCCCCACCCTACCCACCGCAGGACACCAGCTGTGTTTCCGCGCGTGGCGATTGCGAGAGCAACAAAAAAATCACTTTTAGCCGGGGGACCAGCACCCAAGCTGCAGGACACCAGCTTCGAGCAGGTCCAGGAGCTCCTGTTGCAGGGCCGGCCCTTCGTAGTGGCCGATGGCGCCAAGGGGCTCCCCATGGCAGCGCCTCGGCGGCGGAGGCCTCGCGGGTTTTTGTGGGGCGCGTGGGGGGTTTGTTTGCGGGGTGGGGTTGGGTGGGTGGGTTGGGGTGGGGGGAGGGGTTGGGTGGGGATAATTTTAGAAATTGGAGGACGAAAACCTTGAGGTGGTACGTCCCTTCTAGAATTGGATTGCTAGAACCGAGAAACTCTAGTACTAAACGGCTTTAGGAGTAGGATTGGTTACTTTACGTGGTATGTTTGAAAAGACATGCGCATTTGGCTTTGTGGGAATCAAGCACTTTGGCATCAAGGGTGGTTTTCCACGGAGGGGTATTTATTTTAGGAATTGTTTTCGTTTTTTTTTTTTTTTGATTTTTTTTTCGCTTTTGGCTTCTTCGCTTTTGGCTTCTTGGCTTCTTGGCTTCTTGGCTTCTTGGCTTCTTGGCTTCTTGGCTTCTCGGCTTCTTGGCTTCTTGGCTTCTCGGCTTCTTGGCTTCTTGGCTTCTCGGCTTCTCGGCTTCTGGGCTTCTTGGCTTTTTGGCTTCTTGGCTTCTTGGCTTCTTGGCTTCTTGGCTTTTCGGCTTCTTGGCTTCTCGGCTTCTGGGCTTCTAGGCTTTTCGGCTTTTTGCTGGTTTATGCGGCTTTTGGTGGCTTTTTGGCTTTTCGCATCCTCTGCATTCCCAGTTCCTCTTCGGCAGGTGGCTTTTTTCCGACATCATGGGGGGGGCTGCCGCCCCCCCCAACCCCCCCGCTACGTTTTAGATTTTCTGCAGAGATTTAATTAGTTGCACCCCTACTTGAATCATCAATTCTTCGAACATCATGGGGGGGTTGCACCCCTAGTTGAATCATCAATTCTTCGACCATCATGGGGAGGCGGCCTTAACCCCCCCGCTACTTTTTAGACTTTTTGCAGAGATTTAATTGCACCCCTATTCAAATCATCGCTTCTGCAAGCAACATCGTGGGGGGGGCTGCCGCCCCCCCCCCAACCCCCCCGCTACTTTTTATATATTTTTTACAGGGATTGACATGGCCTCCTACTTGAATCATCATTTCTTTGACCCCGTCACACGATTTGTTGGTGATGCTAGGGATGTTGGTGGGACATGCGGGGTATATTTCGCGAGAACATGCTGTAAAATACGACACTTTACTGGCCCGGCAGAGATTGAATTGCACCCCTGTTTGAATCATCACTTTTTCGAGCGTCCAATTTCGCGAGAAAATGCTGCAAAATACGACTTTTTAGGTAATCTGTGTAGTCCGTGTATGTTTGTATGTATGCATTTCTTCGAACATCATGGGGGAAGCCACCCCCGCCAACCCTCCCGCTGCCTTGTAAATTCTATCACACCCTTTCTTGAATCATTGCACCCCTGCTTGAATCACCACTTCTTCCGACATCATGGGGGGGGCTGCCGCCCCCCCCAACCCCCCCGCTACGTTTAGATTTTCTACAGAGATGCACCCCTAGTTGAATCATCAATTCTTCGAACATCATGGGGGGGGGGCTGCCGCTGCACCCCTATTCAAATCATCACTTCTGCAAACAACATCGTGGGGGGGGCTGCCGCCCCCCCCAACCCCCCCGCTACTTTTTATGTATTTTTTACAGGGATTGACATGGCCTCCTACTTGAATCATCATTTCTTTGACCCCGTCACACGATTTGTTGGTGATGCTAGGGATGTTGGTGGGACATGCGGGGTATATTTCGCGAGAACATGCTGTAAAATACGACACTTTACTGGCCCGGCAGAGATTGAATTGCACCCCTGTTTGAATCATCACTTTTTCGAGCGTCCAATTTCGCGAGAAAATGCTGCAAAATACGACATTTTAGGTAATCTGTGTAGTCCGTGTATGTCTGTATGTATGCATTTCTTCGAACATCATAGGGGAAGCCACCCCCGCCAACCCTCCCGCTGCCTTTAAATTCTATCACACCCTTTCTTGAATCATTGCACCCCTACTTGAATCACCACTTCTTCCGACATCATGGGGGGGCTGCCGCCCCCCCCCAACCCCCCCGCTACGTTTTAGATTTTCTACAGAGATTTAATTAATTGCACCCCTAGTTGAATCATCAATTCTTCGAACATCATGGGGGGGGCTGCCGCCCCCCCCAACCCCCCCGCTACTTTTTAGACTTTTTGCAGAGATTTAATTGCACCCCTGTTCGAATCATCACTACCCCGCTCTGTTTTTCTTAATTGTTTTTTGGTATTTTTTTTTGCTGGGATTGAAATGCCCTCCTGTTTGAAGCGTTATTGTTTTGACCCCGTCAACCCGCCAGCTACATTTTTGGATTTTGTTACCCACGATTTGTTGGTGATGCTAGGGATGTTGGTCGGACATGCGGGGGATGTTGAAAACGATGCTGGGGATGTTGACGAGCTAGTGTAAAATGCGTCAATTTCGCGAGAAAATGCTGTAACATACGACATTTTGCTGGCCCGGACGAAAAACGAAAAAAAATCCCCAAAAAAAACGAAAAAAATCCCAAAATAAATCCGCACCCGTTTTCCACATGGACACATGTTCAGGGCGAGGAGCCTCCAACAGAACACGGGCTCCCCCAAAACCAAATTCCGCCATATCGTCGTGTTGGATCCGTCCATGTCGTCATGAATTTAGTTGGGCCTGTGATTCCAGGGGTTCTCCGGATGATTTTGTGGAAGGTGGTGCTCTTTTAAACCACCTTACGGGTTCCACAAGAAAGACGAGGGTTTCACTTTAAGGCGAGTGCAGATTTGAGGGCGCCTTCACTTTCAGGAAGGACCTGGCCGATTGCGGCTGGGAGAGAAGAGGTTGCAGGTTGATGCAGTTGAAGCCCTTCCGTCCAAAGCAAAGGGGACCTTTCTTAATTAGTTTGACTGGTGGTTTTCTTCCGACAGGAAGGCAGAATCACTGTGCTTTTTCTTCCCTTTCGCACACCTCATTTCGGTGGGGGCATCTGAGAGATGCGTGCCAGCCTGGGTTGGTGCATGGGTGTTTTACTCCGGAAAGTGCTCCCACACAACTATCCCCCAAACCTCCACCCCCAAACCCCCACCCCGACTCCTCCACACCAACTGCACCACCACATATAGGTGTCCTTTTTAGGTTAGTTTGATTAAAAATAAATGGCACTGGTTGATGTGGGCTTTCTTCCATTTGCCAGGGAAACCCATCAATTTTTCCAACAGGCCGCCTATGCACCACCTTCCAGTTGCCCCCACCCGAATATCTCAACCAGCCTCGAAGCCCGACGGCGTCCGACGGCCGAAGCTCCGAAGTTCTGAGGCCTGGGACTGTGAGCAAGTCCGGAAGGAGTTCCCCCACTCCCGGCTGCGACAGGAGGGCGGCAATTCGGCGGCTCGGAGGTGGGAAACTTTGGGGAGCAAGTTGTGTGGTTTTTGTTCGATTTTTGTTTGGTTTGTGTTTGGTTTTCGTTTGTTTCTTTTTGGTTTTGGGGTGCCTGCCTTCTTGATTCCATTTCGGCATTTGTCGTAGTTTGGCCACGGAAACCGGCAGCCGTGGCTGGGCAACAGAATGCGAGTTGCCATAGGTAGAAAGGCTTTCAGCATGGTGTGCTTGGGTGCTGAGACTCCAAAACCCACACTCACCAGTAAAAACCCTCCACTGACTTCGAGACACCCTGGCTCCAAGAAGTCGCATCTTTGCACGCGCGGCTGGGTTGCCTTTTGGCACGCGGCTGAGGAGTTGAACGCCATTTTGATGAACAGCAACTGGATGCAGGACGGGACCTGTGACTTCGGCAACCCTGCTAGGAAGTTTCCTGAAACCGGTCTGCCCTGCAGGGCTCCTTGAAATAAACTCATTTTGCGTGCCCAGTTGAAACATGGCTGGCTTTTTCAACACATAAAGAAAGGGAAACCAATTACAAGTTGCAATGTTCAGGTGTAGAATGCATCCGGATCCCTGGGTATGAAATTTCCTGAAGGAGCCACGTGAAACAGAGGTTGGTGGAAACACGTCCCCACCTGAGAGACACCCACCAAGGGATTTGTGAATGACAAATCATACGTGTCGGCCCGTGTTCCGTCTGGTCCAAGATCCTCTCAGCAGAACATAGACACGGAAATGGATGCCCTCCCGCCAAGCAGCATGACAGCTCTTTTGGAACATCCGCCATTCCTATCATTCCTTGTGCTTCCCTAACCACCTCGGACATTCAGCCAAGTGGCTACAGGCAAACACAAGCGGAAAGGTTGCGGTTGCCAGTCGCACAGGACTCCAAGCCCTATCCCGGCGCCGAGCTCTACCCTCCGGGGGCGCCCAAGATTCGGCCCTTCTACTGGGACATCGCCAAGGCATCGGATTTCGGGGCGGGCCGGGGCCCCGGGTTGAGGCTATACACAGTTCCAAGCTCGAAACGGCATGAAATACGGGTATGCTGTCCAAAGTAGGCACCCCCCCCCAAAAAAAGAGATAGAACAACAACAAAATCAAAAAACAAACAAACACAGAGGCAAAGCAGTGGCTTGTCTTTTGCGTGTCCTTGTCAAGCTGGAACAGGTTCCTTCAAAGCACGTGGGAGTGCCGAGCCTGCAGGTCATGGATGGAAGACTTCCATGTTGGGAGAGTATGTGTTAGCATCCAAGGCTTCCCCCCAAAAAAGATGCGCTGGTTGATTCTGGTATGCGATTTGCGTTCCGCCGCAAATCGGGCAGATTGGGAAGTAAGCGCTTAACGCCTTAGAAGGAACGCTAGTGCAGGCAAGCCTCATACTTGAACGGGTCCGGGTCATCCAACAGAGTTTTGTGCTCGAAGCAGGCGCTTTGGCTTCACGGGACGGTCCAAAAAGCGCCGTGCGAGCTCGAGCGACCGTTCGAGGCCTACCGAGAAGAGCGAGAACGGAAATGGGGAAAGGACCCGGCCAAGGCGCGGCTTGCCGAGTTGAAAAGAGAAGCGAAGGGGTCTAGCCATTTCGCCTCCAAAAACTACCCTCCCAGAGATTCATGGAAGCTGACGCTGGCAGGAGGGCTTTTTTTGCAAGACATATATGATATATGTATATATATTATATATATATATATGTGTGTATATATATATATTCCTCTTGGGGCACCCCTCTGTAAAACGTCTACCCTGCCCGGGGAGGTGGAAGACAGCTGTGCCGGAGGGGTTGGTCAACCGCAGGTGGTGAGCAAGATCGTGGGCACCACTGCGGTGCCCTACTGGCTGCCACAGCAGAGCGTGGTGGCGACCCGGCAGCAGAGGTGTGTCCTTCTTGGTGGTTTTGATAGTAAAGTAGATGGTGCTGGTTTACCTGGTGGTTTTTTCATCTGCCTAGGCCACGATTCCTGGTTTGCCTGGTGGTTTTTCCATGTACCTAATCTCTTCCCCCTATTAATAAATACGCCCCCCCCCCCCCCATTTTAAATAAATCCCCCCCAAAAAATATATTTTTTTAATTGGGGTTTTTGGGGTTGGCTTTTTTTGCTTTTCCAACAATGTGAGGGTTCACGTAGGATTTGGATGAAATGGATTGAACTGTAAGGTCCGCGAGTAAGCGGTTCAATAAGGAAATTTGATGTATCATTCTAATTATTTGTTTACCAGTTTACTGGTTGTTTGTTTGCAGCCAGGCAGGTTAGACAGACCGCAGCCAGGTGACAAACGCAGCCAGCCAGGGAGTCAGGGACAGCCAGGGACAACAGAGTCAAGAACAACCTTTTTGGGAACCCACCAAAAGAACCCAACCTTTTGAGAAGCCAGCTTTTGGGAAAGCAACCTTTTGGGGAATTGAGGAACCCACCTGTTGAAAAGTGAGGCTGGAAGCTTGCCAAAAGTGCCCCCTAATAAGGATTCCAAGACGTTAGTATTGGCTTAGTATTGGCGCAATGGAAAATCAATTGTGTGGAGTGGAAATCTGGTCCCGAGCCCCGGATTTGCATTTATTATTAATTGGGGTCATTCATTAATTGGGGGAGCGGATTAGGCCATCTCCATCTATTTCCCTGAAAAGGGCGCCTATGCCTGGCAATGCGCCAGCATTGCCACGCGTTGGGTGTTTCTCAACATGGGCTTCGGCCATGCCCTCAATGGCGGCTGCAAATGCAGCGGTGCTTGTTTTTTTTTTGGGGGGGGGATCGAATCGGCAAAACTCTATTTTTTGCAAGGAGTTGGTTTCTTCCCCGATGAAAGGAGCAACCATCATGAGGTGGCAGGGCGGGGAGGCTTGGTTGCATGGGATGTTGGGAGGTGGACGTGAAGTGTCCATATTTGGAGACTGATAGGGGAGCCCAAGGACAAGCATGTGCTTTCCGCATCCGATTTCGGAACCTGTTTGTTCGAACCCATTTGGAACTAGTCACACTATTTAGTGGTTGGAAGGGAGCCGTTACGGAGCTAGGGGCATCCAAACTTGCCTTTTAAAGAGGGAGCCAAGGAGCTACCGGGAGTTCTGTACGGACATTAGTTTGGATCCATCACCAGACCCCAAATTCTAGTTTTTGCTTTGGGGACCCCCAGGCTGCCTTTGCATCCCGCAAGGAGATGGGACGCAGCTCGGAGATGTGGTTCCACCCACCGGGGGCCGGGGCGAGGGCGCATATGGCCGGGAGCCCTGGACTCGCGAGTCCTCGCGACGCGCGCGATGGATTTTGGGCATCTTGGAGGACCTAGTTCCATTTCCTCAGATGTCCGGAGGTGCTCTCAGATTCCATGTCTCATTCCCTGCCTGCATCCATGGTTGTTGTTGGGAAACATTTTACTTTTTTGCTTATTGTTTAGACCAAACTGTGGCCTCTTTATTTGGCCATATGTGTTCTGCCTGGACGTAAAGGGACATGCGCACGCAACAGGCTACGTAATAAGCCATGTAAATGGTTTTGTGTGTATGTGTGAGCACCTTGCCTGCCTTTCTGCTATGGCTTGTGACCCTCCCGACTTGGAACATCAAAGTATTTTGCCAGGTTACTGCTGCGCGTTGCGAGACAACAGCATATGGTCTGAGGCCAGTCATGGTCGGGTGTCATTTTGCAAAACGTCATGTCCCACTTTTTGCAGGCAGTGCAACAGGCAGTTCGGATTCGCGTATCTATCACCATGTGCGCCCATGACTTTCACCCAGCTGGTGTGCACTCACCCTTCCTTGTTTGCTTGCAGCCAAGTTTGCCAAACAGCGCGCCGGCCCGGCATAGGCCCATGTTAAACGACATACAGCTTCGCCTTTTTGTAGCCAGGTTGCCTGTGGATCACAGCTCTTGCCTAATTGACTCCACGCATGTATTAGATATGCGCCGGGCCGGCGCAAAAGCGCCACATGTTCTTGCTGAATCGCCTTCAATCATGCCTTAGATTTGTGCCGTGCCAGCACAAATGCGCCACTTGTTCTTGCCAAATTGCTCCAAGCATGCCTTATATTTATACTGGGCCGGCGCAAATGCGTGACGTGTTCGAAGATATGCGCCGGATCGGCGCAATGCACCCCGTTTTCTATTCATGGCCTAGTTTTCATAGATTTGTGCCAGGCCAGTGTGAGTTCGACCCTATCTCGCTTGCGTGTCAGTTTTGCGCGGAGGCTTTCTTTTGCTTGGCCAGCGCAGATGCCCGCCCCGTGCACCCCTAACAACCTTGAACTTGCTGTCAGATTTGTATTGCCTTTCAACCTGAATGACAGGTGCCCCATCCTAACAAATCTGTCCAATTGTTGGTGTGTCTTTCGCTTTTCTCGCGCGTTCCTGTTTGACGCACCCATGCTCCATCCATGTCCCGTGCGACCTTTCCACACGCAGTCTCGTTTGCGTGCTAAAAGTTGCTGTTGCTCGTGCGCAGGCCGCACACGTGTAATAGTCGCGGGTTCCGCCTGCGTTCTCGAGCAGCAGCTTTGCCTCGCCTGAACGGTTCAGAACGGTTCCGAACGGTTCCTGGGTGGTCAGCGGGCAAGGCGCGCAAGTGGTAAAGTTTAGTTGCTAGCAGTTGGCGGTCCTCGCGTGAGCAGTATGCAAACTCGTCAGGCGCCAGGCGGCTCGTCCAATAGGCCGCGCACTTCTCCAATCCTGAAGCAAGGGGCTGTGCATTTTTGCACCCACAGGCTGTCCTGAAAAGATGCCTTGTTTTTGGTTTTACGCCGCTCAGTTCGGAACATTTCCGCGAAAGTACAACATACCCGAAAGTTTGCTCGCTCTGTTTTTCTCATGGGCTATCTTAGGTCCAGGTCAATCTGATTTCCCTGGGTTCGGAGGGAAACTAAGCGTCCGTCGCCAAGCGCTAATAGCTTTGTTTTCTAAACACGCAAGCTTTTTGCGCCAATGAAGTTGCTGAAATGAGTTCATTGGCAACTCAACTCAGGCAGGACTGTGCCCAAACACTCAATCAGCAGAACCGTTCTGAACCGTTCCTGAAAAGTATGCAGGCTGAAGCCTGAACCGTTCTGAACCGTTCAAGCTGCGAGCGCGTGCTAGCCCATCTTGGTTCAGAACCGTTCTGAACCGTTCTGAACCGTTCACGGAACCGTTCTGAACCGTTCTCAGGCATGATGCCCGGAAACGCAGGAACCGTTCTGAACCGTTCCGAAGCTGTCGATGGCATTCAAGTTGTGAACCATATGTACTAGCATGTAGTTACGATTGCTGCTTTTTAATGTTTGATCCGCTTATTATGTGTTGGCAAAGGCCTCTAGCAAGATGACAGCAGGGCACGAGCGCAATACCGTGCCAGGAAAGGTCATGTTCCCACTGTCGCACCCTAGGCTCTAATAACACATCAACTGTTTTGCCTTGTGGAAATCCCAACTCAGACGCCTAGAAACCCTTTTAGCAAGTAGTTGGCTGCATTTTTGCTTAGCTTGCAGCATCGCCCGTGACGTGTGTTCAGACGTTGGTTTTTACATGGCTTTCTGGGTTAAGGACAGGTTAACACATAAAGAGGCCACAGTTTGGTCTGACTTATTGTGGTTTAGTGGTTGAAATCCACAAATCCCCACTTCATCAGCCCCAAGCTTGTGGGATCAAGAGGGGTTGATCCAACCACTTCTGTGATACAAGGGAATCCCCTCTTTACATGGGGTAGTCTTTGGGGGACCTTTTTCTTGTCTCACAGAAGTGGATTCCATTTCCCACAGCCCTGTGGAAGAGGGTCTCCGAGTTCCCTTTGTGGATCCTAAGTGGCACTCGGTGAACTGGACACCACCAGTAAGTTGATTTGCTTTGTAAGGGGAAATGCAGCGACCAGGTGGAAACTCGAGGTTTATGTTTTTTTCCCGGGGGAAAAGGACCGAAGGTGAGATACATCTCTCAGATTTTCTGGGCGCGGGCGGTTTCGAGGCTTCCGGCAGGGGTCGCCGGCGAGACTTTGCTGACTAGGTTTCCCCTACCACAGCCCCCCTTACTCCATGCGATCCTTTGAATGGCAAGAACTAGATGTCTTCCCCGATACTTGCGCAAGTAAAAGACCTCTATCTTGGGCCAAAAATGCTATATATTTTTTTGGTAGGGGGTTATGTAGTTCCAACATGCTGGGCGTATGGGGGTCGGGGGTGTGGCCGCCGCGCCCCAAGCGACCTAGAACATGTTTCAGCAGGCGCGGCTATTCAAAAAAGCAGTCGTGGCCAAGTATGAAAGGCTCAGCCATGTGGCAATATGACAACCTGAAAGGGGATCTCGCTGGCAGGCAGAGTTTCCTGTGCCCGGAATGAACGCTCGAGAGCGTAGTCACTCATGCCATGTTTGTTTTGAGCCCCATGTCCAATTTGTCTTGTCTTGAGGATCGACAAATTAGCTCAGCAGCCAGTCAGTGGATTGACGAGCCTGTGAGGCGCGGAATGCTGTGAGCAATCGTTTAGGTGTGCCTATTCGAGCCCTCGCCTCTCCAGACATGCTACAGAACGAAGGCTGAATGTGCGCCAAAGCGCCATCTGCAGAATACAGCGCAGTGATGATCGCGCTTGAGCGCATGTGCTTATCATGTGGCAGGCGTGTACAGATTGAAGATTTGCCGCAATGCTGCCCCCCCCCCCCGTGCCAACATGTGCCAACTCCATCCATATGTGATGAATTCGATGTTTTACTCTACAGGAAGCCAAGCGAGCGCCACTTCTTTTGGGGGCATCCTCAAAAAGTCCACGCCCATTTGCCCACAAGCTTCGGCTCAGGACCCCCACTGCCGCACCACCGTGTCCTTCTGCTTCTCAGGGAAGCGGAAATGGCGCATGATGGCGCCGCGGCACGGGGTGGATGGGGTGGATGCTGGGCAGCTGGACTGCGAATTTTGACAGTTGGGGTTATGAAATGCAGTCGGAAAGCGGGGGCGATTTAATTTGAATCTAGCACGAGCTTGACTCTGACGATGCTATTGGGGCACGTCAAAGCGAATCCGGTTAAGGGCAAGGAAGGCTTTGGGAAGAACCAGGCAGTGGACCCCAGTGAGTCCTATAGGTAACCCTAGATGCTCTTTTTAGGTTATAGAGGTTGAAATTACCTACACAGGCAAGAGGATCAGGGCAGATTTGGAGGCTCTTTGAAAGGGCCAGATGGTTGGTGTGGAGTGGGTCCATGCGTTTCGTTGCTCCGGGTGGGAAAGAAAAGATCTCTTCCGATTTCTGTGACTTTCAGGGAGACATCGGCGCAGTTTTCAATGCTCCGAGCCCGAAGGCCGAACCGTTGGGGTCCTTTCCAAGTAGCTAGGTTTTCTGGAGTTCTGCAGAATCCTCAGGTGAGTACTCCTAACCCCTTCTCACCGTTGCAAGGGGCAAACCCAGCAACCACGGACAAGTCAGTCCAGTCGTGATGACACCTTACAAACGTCGATGCGGCAAATGCAAGCGGCAACATCATGCCTTTCTTCCGTGCTGCATGCCCAAAAGAGACACACACACACACACACACAGACACAGACAGCAACAAGAACATGTTAGTATCGACAGGAGCGCTCGAAGCTCCAAAGGAGCGCTGGATGCGCACAGTATGATTTCTTGCCTCGGTCAACACAGGCCATCTTTGCCCTCAACCAAACTGAGAAACAACAGAAACTTCTTGAAATTCCCAGGTTTGCGGCACCAGTCTGGTTACACTCCCTAGGTTCGGGGGTTTTTGAACCCCCAAGTCTGCTGCGTTTCTTCCCCGCCCCGCCCGGCCGAAGCCCCCCGGGCCTCCGGGGCCGGTGCATCTCCGGTCCCGAGGTGCCGCCCGCGGAGCCGCACCCTGAGGGCTACTTCGACGGGGACATCTACAAGCGGTCGGAGTGGCAGCCCACCTTCGAGCTGGAGGCCGAGTCGTCGGACCCGACTCGCGGGACAAAAGCGGGGGAAAAAGCCGAGAAACGCCGGACAGGTCGCGGGAAAAAGCGGGGAAAAAGGCGGAACGAGATTCAGCGGGAAAAGGGGGAGGTGGGGGATGGCCGGTTTTTTGTTCCGTTTTTTTGTTATGTGGAAGCCTAGGTACATGGAAAGGGGGGATATGGGATGCGGGAGTCTCCTTGAGGTAGGGGATGTGTTTTGCTTTCAGCGGAGATGTGTTTGTTTTTTTTGCCAGTCGCTGGACAACTGGGTTGGTTGCCACTTTCTGGTTGGGTGTGATCACACCAAGTGGGACTGCTTCAACACGGGTTCATATCCACGAAAATAACAAAGTTATAAAGCCGTGCAACCACATGAATGGTTTTGAAGAATCCGCATAATTCATCAGGTGCAGGATCCCTTTGAAAAAAGATTGTCTTGCCTGTCTCCTCAGTCAGGTTCCATGGCAACGTGGACCAGGTATCCTCCAAACATCATGGCCCATGTGAGTCTGTCTTCAGATGAGGGAGCCTCCAAACTGCCGGGTTTTCCCGTTTGGCTTCTCTGCAAATCCAAGCGAAAAGGGGGGTATCCTTCAAAAAAAAGCGAGCCTCGCACGAACCACCATCCCAGAGGCGAGCAACGGCTCCGCCGTGGTGGTCTTCCCAGGCTGGCGGAGCGGATGGAAAGCTTTCCAGAAAGGCGGTAAAACCTGGGACCCCGCCTAGGTCCCCCAGCGATCGGTGCCAACTTTTACCGTTTCTTTTTTCGGGGAGGGGTTCCCCTACTGAAATAGACTACAGAAAAAAGGGCACCCTTATTCGAACCTTTCTACCGGAGGACCTAGTCGGTGTTTGGTGAAAAGAGTTCCAGAAAACACCAGGAACAAGCAGCTGCTTGCTTTAGACAGCAGAATTACAACAAGAAGTGACAAGGAGTCAACCTCCTAGAGCTCTACTATTTGTTCCACACGAAGTGATTGTGACAAGAAGTCAACTTCCCAGAACTCTAGGGGTGCCAGGGTTCCCCTGTGTTTTGAGTTGGGGTTGCAGGAGGTTGATCAACTTGTGTCCGTGCAGCTCGGGTTCCAGCAGTTGTCGCAGTCAACATTGACTTCCAGCTCTTGCATGCTTCCGGCAAACAGCAGAAAATAGGCGCGGCTTGCTGTGCTGATTCAAGTGCCTTGAGGAATCCCGAGCTGCGTTCTCATCTCTGAACTCTATACAAACGAATTTGTTGGAGTCTTCCTGGAACTCCAAAAACCGTTTGCTGGATTCAACTGGCCAGGCATGGTGCACGAGACGCTGTCGGTGGGTGAGGTGTGTTCCGCCTCGGTGAGCCAAACCTTCGCGGTGCCTACGCCGGCGGCGTATTGGCGCGCCTTCTGGCCCCGCTTCGCGCTGATCGGCGAGGACGTGGGCCAGTGCCGCTGGATTCCCAACTCGCGGGGAAATTCGGAGTCGCCGGGGCTGGACCTTTTTTTTCCCGTTGTTTTTTTCCTGGGGGGGGAGTTCAAGTGTTGTTTGTTGCGGTTTGCTGGGATATGTTATTTCGGCTCGGGCATATCCGTTTCTGCAGCGCTTGCCAATTGGAGGAAGCAAGTTGCCCGCCTGGCTAGCCGGCATCCTTTTCTGCAACGCTTGCATGGCGCAAAAAGCTTTGCGCTTCTCTCAATCGGGGACAGACGTGGCTTGTGAAATGTTGGTTCCGTCAAACCTATCAACAAAGGGCTCCACCTTTTCGAGCGACTTCCGCAGCTTGGGTGCTCGCCCAGAAAGCCAGCTGCTAGGGTGCATGCCCGGAGAAGCGGCAAAAACTGAAGCCGTCGCCGAGGTGGGGACGTTGTGGAACAGCTGGTGACGCTGAAGACCCGCGCCAAGGTGCGACCGCAGCCGGAGCCCATGGCCAGAAAGGCTGGCAAGCACTTCGTGCCTCGGAAGCGCACCGAACAACTCGCGGTTCGCAAATGTTCGCAATGCTTAAGCATGTTTGTTGTTTTCCCCTCTTGATTTTAAAGAGAATCTATCACTACTGGAAATATTTGTATGTTTTCCAGGGGACTTAAGCAAATGGAGGGCAACAGGGGAGTTCAAGTCCTGGGGAAACAACCCTTTCTGTGGGGAAAAAATGCGATTCTCCCATCCCTTGCGCTAAATGGATCATCGAATGAGATGGGTTGTAGAGCAAGTTTCTTTAAAGCCAGTCTTCAACATTTGCAGCCTTGTGGGTTTCCAGGGTTGGGCTGAAAGGGTTGCTCGCAAAACGCACACATTGACATACCCTTGTGGTGAAATCTCCTTTCCTTTCCGGCCCGGGCGGGAGAGTCCTAACCAATTGCTTGGGATTCGCACAGGGCTTCGAGGAGGTTTCCCATGTTTTAGGGCGCCAGGTCGTAGCCGAACCGGCAAAGCAGTCAGCCATGCACTTTGCTGGTGTCACAGGAGGTTTGGGCACCTTTCTTCAAAAGGCCACAGTTGACTGGTGGTCCTCCTCCAATTTCAGGAATCTCGGATTTGGAATTGGGCCAGCTTGTGGGATGACATCATCCATGTTAGAAGCAGCTTGTAACCTGAAAGTTATTTTTGTGAGTGTCTCCGCTTTCCATTAGCTGTTTAAGCACAGACTTTCTGTGCATATCCTTTCTTCTGTCCACTTGTACACCGAGTTTGTTAAAAGTTTGGTCCATTTCTTGTTGGCTGGATGAACAAACATCTCCCCATTTCGGGATGACAACCTCTCTACCTCATTTGGGCAAGGGTGAAACTCAGCACATCCAAATGTTCGCTTGAGAGTCGGCGTTTTCAAGGAGTTTGCTTGGCCAAGGCTACGTAGCTCACACCTCCAAAGCTAGGCCTACAAGATGGACGCGGACAAAGACGGCAAGATCTCGAAGAAAGAGATGCTGTTGCCCGGGGAGTCTGAGGACAGCTTGACGGAGCTCATTAGCTTTCACGACACAAACAAAGACGGCATCGTGACCACCAAAGAGTTGGTAGACAGCTGCTGGGCGCATCCATCTCCGAGCAACTCACTCCCCCCAAAACTGACCGTGGAGACTTAAGGTCTCCCCGGTGACGTGTGGTTTTGGCGAAGGCTCCAAAAGCTTCATCTCATGTCTACCGGATCTCCTGGGGAAGCGATTTCACCAGGTGTCAAGCATGATCAAGCATTTCTTTCCGCTCGGGTCGAGCTTGCCCCCCGTTGCTTAAGCTCTGCTGGTTGACTTGAAGGTCGGCATGCTGACCCTGTCTGCTCACACATTCCCCAAATGCTTCCCTCGGGTGTAGGGAGCCCCCTTTGGTAGTGGTTTCCTTGTTGGATTATGAAGTAGGATTCTCAAAGCTGTCCGAGAATGCGGTACAACCAAAAAAACAACAACCTCCATTTTGAACAGCGCAGACAGCACCCTTTGTGGTTTTCTATTTGGTTGCCTCTTGGCCGTTTAGCCCAGATTTGAACATGGAATCAGCCAGCTGGCGAATTGCCACCTCAATCAAGCAAGCTCACTTATAAAGGCCCAGGGTTGAGAATGATCCTTTCCTGTAAACTGTTTTTGTTCTTTCGGGTGGAGTGCAAAGACATCCATTTCAGGGTCCAATTCGAGATACTCCCCGTCAATCATCTTTCGGCTCATTTCCTCACTCAATGGACTTTAGTCCTTGAATGGGTTTGGACCATGCTGGCGGGAAAAAGTTCAGATTGTATTTGACCCACCCACTCAGGAAGTGAGTTTACGGTGAGGTTCCCTAGGGATGATGATTGAATGGGATATAGAGAGTAACACCAAAAAGACCCTGAGTTCATACCCAGAAATCCGGATAAGTCAATCTCAATAGTTCCCGATAATTGGCAATAAATGAGAATGAGTCAATATTCCATACAGACTTCAAAGCCACCCATGTCAAATAGCAGCGCTGCGGCTTGCTGAGGCTGGGTGATGTTTGCAGTTGCCAGCCATCGTTCAGCGCAACTTATGGGCGGACGCACTGATCTGTAGTCAGCGCGCAAAAAATGAGCCTGCGCCTACTCTCCTCCACAGCCATTTTCTGTTTAGGGTAGACTACTGTAAGTTTCTATCAGTAGTTGAGAGGTTGTTTTGCCTTGTGTCGAACTCACGGGATATGAGCCCACCATGATGTCGGGCCCTTTGGATTTTTGTCCAAAATCGGATCAGGAATTGTCATGGAGAAGCCAGTGACGCCCCAAGCTAAAACTGAAAGGGAACCCACCAACCAGTTCCTGACTCTGTCAACCCCCCAGAAGGGGTCAACAAATGACCCCGGTTTTCGCCAACATTTGTTTTCTGACTGTTCAGGTAACCTTTGGTGGTTTGGATTGGATTTGAACAGGTCCTTGGTTCTTGGTTTGGGTAAACCACCCAACCTCCACACCTCCAAACTACAGATTCGGCTCCAAACCATCAATTGGAGGGAAGCTGAAATGCCCAGCCAAGGAGGGCCCGCCTGTTTGAAGTAATTTGGGGTGGATGTTCAGACGGGGGGGGGGGGGCCTGTTTGACCAAATTGGATTCAAGTAGAAAGGGCATCCCCCAAAGCCAGGGATTTGGTTGCTTGTCCTTCTCAATCTACTTGTGGGATCCCAAGTCCCCCCCTCCCTTCTGATCAGGAAACCAACCTCGCGCGCACCCCGCTTGATCCGGCTCCAGTTTACAGCAGCTTCGCGCTGCCTGGGCGTTTGTCAAACCGCGCGGCACATGCCCTGCTTTGGAGCTTCGGCATAAAAGCTGCGGAGAAAACTCCCGCGCGGGGCCGGTTTCGTGCGAAGCATCCGGTCCCTTAGCCTTTTAGCATCTCTTAGTGTTCAGTGGTTTCCGAATTTAAGCCACTAAGAGCTCGTCACTCGCGGGAGATCAGAAAACGGGGCAGCCCAGTTATGCACACGAGTGTACGTAAGTAAGTCGCCCAGACCTTGGGCCCCCTCCGGCAAGAAATGGAGGCCTGAAGGGAACCCCTTGGTTTCTTGAGCGAAATTGCTGGCCCTGGCACGCTTTTGGGCATGCGAGATCTCTCCGGCAAGTCTCAGAATGCCAATTGGCGCCTGTCAAAAGGCAAGCATTGGAACACCTCACAGGGTCCCAGTTTCCGATTCCCCAAGGTTGACTTAAACCCAGGAGTTAACCACTTTGGCAGAATCAACCACTGGGTGTACGTCTACCTTGTTCAAACATGGGACCCTGAAAAGGGCGGAGAAGGGCGCGTGTTGATGCCTCGACCCCAAAAGAAAGACTGAGGAGTCGATGTCTGGAGGCTTTAAGGACTCCTTCACCAAGGAGGATAACAAGGAGGACGTGCTGGGCTACGACGACACTGCCTTCTATTATTTTGTCGTCAGCGTTTTGACACTTGACGTAACTTAGTCACTGACCGGGGGCTCAACCAAGTGCCATGTCCGGGGAAAAGGTGCCCGTGTTATTGTTGGTTTGTCCACGAAGGTAAAGACAGCGAATGGGGAAGTTGCTTGCTCCAGGCGCCCTAATTCACGCCCAACATGGTTATGCCGGGTTTCGTGACCGTAGGACTTCCCCCCCCCCGAAACAAGCAATTCGGCTTCCACATTCTGTCACATCCAACGGCTCAAAAAGGGTTCTTTCACAGGAAGAAGCTCTTTCTAGAAATCAGGTTTTTTTTGCGTTCCATGTTGCTCTGGGGGTATGTTTGCTCCTTTTTTTTTGCGCGACTCTGTACATAAATGGGTGTGTCCTTTTTTTGGAAGGCAGTGCTTTTCTGTTTTGTTGTTTGGGGGGGTGGTTGAATCTGGAAACAAAGGATATGCCACCCCATTTTGGACACCTCCAAGGGTCATTTTGTTCTAAGGGTTCATTCCCCATTCTTTTCAACCATCGCTCTTTTCAACTACCAGCTGTTTCCCCAGATTGTTTTGGTGGTTTTTAGAAAGATCCGGATGCCTGGGTTCAGAATGGAAAAGGAAGGTACCCCTAGATTCTTTGCTTCATTTTGCCTGGATGTTAGGACCGAACAACTTTTTGCCAACTTAAATGGGTTTTCCGTATTAAACCACGGAAAAAGTTATTCACTTCTTCTGCAGGGCTTCGCAGATTTCGCCACCGAGATGTTTTTTTAGAAAGATCGACCCAACAAATGAGAAGCTTCCGGGCCTCCGAGGACCTGCGTGGCGGTGCCCTGGACGCTGGGCAGCTTCGCTGCGCTTAATCGTCCCCCATCGACCCCTTATGCACATACCCCGAATAGCATTTTTTTTATGTCGGGGTTAGGGCTTGCCCCGATTTCGTGGTGCGTTCCAAGTCATTTCGGGGATAGAAGCGCGTCTCCCTTTGAAAATGTGTTTTTCTTGGCTTTTTTGAGGCGAAGGCGTACCCCTTACACCCAATACCCTCTTTGTTAAGGGTATGAGGTCGCCCCTCTACTAAAAAAGAAGGTATTTACCAAAACCCGGGTTTTCCAAGAATACCCTCAAAAAAACGCGGGTGTTTGGAGTAGGGGGTGAAGGGAAACCAAAAGGACGCCGACCCATGTATTGGCTTACCCAATTTTTCATGAATGCCATGTTGTGGGTTTCCGCGCTTTGGCCAAAAACGGCGGGGCTTTTCAGGTAGACCCTGAATTTGCGGTTTGGGCACTTGAGCCCCTGGGTTTTGGGGACAATGGTGCCCAAGCTCCACAACTCCAAAAACCCACCGATTCGGCTGTAAAAGCGACGACGCACGAGGTTTCATCTACAGTTTTGCGCAGCTTGGGCACGATGCCGACAGCGAGTACCCCAGAAGAAGCGCAAGCTTCGGCTCGAAGCTGCGGTACTGCTCCACCTCCGCGATGGTGGAGAAGGTGGTGCCCCGGCGATGGATTTAGCAACTCTTCGGGTGTTCGAGCCATGTGGCCGGTCAAAACCAATGGTATCCCATTTTGGTTGGTAGGTGAATTCACCACCCATTTTAGTATAGTTTATTTCAGTGGAGATTGAATTGGATGTTCACTGGGGGCTAACCAGTTTGGATTTTGACCCATGGCCATGTCCCTTACCCCCAAAAGTGGTTCGATGGGTTCAATGGAAGCCACCCGTATGGGCAGAAAACAAGTCCGGTCCGTCCGATCCCCTTTCTTTTCACAGGGCTCCTTAAAAGAAATTCATTTTGCTTGCAACTATTTGAAACATGTTGCTTTTTCAACACCAATAAAGGGAAACCATCACTTACAAGTTGCAATGTTCAGGTGTATAATGTAAGGATGCCTGTTTCAGGTTCAAGCAGGGCAAGTGAGAAAGGGTTGGGTCAAAATCGGCAGGCGGATGTTCATCTGAAATTCCCAGATTCGCAAAATGGGTTAAAGCTTGATCACCCGGGAATGTTGAGGTTTCTACGGGATTCGGCTTGAGCGGTCCCAATCCACCGCAATGTGTTGCTGGTGCTCCCCTTACAGGAAACCACAAGGAATGGTCACAGGGGTCATTCCTTCATTCCCTGCCTGCTGAGAACCAGCAAGATTATTCGATTTCCCTTGTGGTGCCCACTGATTAGGGATAACCCCCAGAAGCCCCACATCGACTCAGAAGGTGATCTTTACAGTGAGCTGAGGGGCCAAAAGGAGATCTGTAAGGAAACGGTAGTTGACTAGTATCTACTTTCACCCAAGTTTAACTGCAAAAACCGGCTGCGCTCGCCGGAATAATTAGAACCCCCGCAGATCTTGAAATCGTTGCATTTGAAGGGGCGGGCCCTTGGCGCCAATTTGTACTCCGTTTGAGGGCCATGTTTGGACACTGTAACCTCAAAGCGGGTCAAGGCATCCATCTCGGCTTCCCTTCCCAACTTGGATGTCCGTTTGGGTGTGTCTTTTTTTGGGACCAACCCAAATTGTGGTTGTTTCTTCTCGGATGTTCTTTTAAACGCAAGTAACAAATCTAGCATCCTCAGACCTGCCGCTTGCTAGAATCCCAACTTTCTTCCTACAGGTTTCCCCCATCTTTGGAAACCCATTTGTTGGGGTTTGTTCCACAGACTGGGATCCCCGATGGCAGGGATGCGGAAAAAATATATCTGCCCGCAGGAGAAGTACCGTAGAGAAGCCCGAAGGTTCACGGCGAAGACGGGCTTGATTTACTTGGCCCAGGCGGTGGTGCTCTGTGTGATGTGGGCCATGATCTTTGGCACCATGACGCAGTTGGGCTACGAGACGCCTGTCATGGTTTGTTGATGTTTGTTGGTCTTTTGGAGGCTCGATGCCGTTTGCTATAGGTCCGGGCAACGCGGTGTTCATATTTTATGTGATTAGCCATGTCTTAAACCATCACCAGGGATGTCGCGATAGTGACTGACCGGTGGTGTTTGGCTCAAGATTTATGGGTTCCGTCGCGCCTCGAATGGGCGTCGCCGAGCCCCTGCGTCGACCGACGACATCTCGGGGGAGAAAGAGACCTCGGGCCGCCGTCAGGTTGGTAGGGACCATTCGTGCGGCCTGTTGTCGGTCAAGGTTGCGGGTAACCGTTTTCTTGTTTGGTTATTTTCCCTTTTGGTTGTTGTTCTCTGGTGTGTGGGAAACCCTGATCTTTGGGACCGGGGATTGGTTTGCTTTTAGGGAACCTTTCTTTTGTGGCTTGTTTACCCCAACTTACCCATTGCCTGGGCACAGGCTCGTGCCCGAATCACAGGTTATCAGCCGTAGGGCTTTCCTACGCGCTTGAGACCATCAACTACAAGCTCTATGTCGACCCCACGATCTCGAAGGAGCGTCGTGGATGAGGAGGCCATCCTAGGGGGCCTCCGCTCAGGTGAGGACCTACCGGACTACGACTACGAGGATTTCGAAGCAGGTTTGACAGGTCAGGACCGCAGGGGTGAGGATCCCGGTAGGGACACACCCAGGAGCCGTGGCAGGTACACCGACGATGGAGACGAGCGCATTTTCCGTCAGGCCACTGATGATGAGCAGGCACAAAGAGTTCGCTCCGATAGGAGCGGCTCTGTGTCAGGTCGCAGGCGCGGACAGTTTGACTTCATCAGCATGGCGATGAACATGGCCCGCCCTCATTCGGACGACCCGGAGGCCATGCCGATCCGACCCCCGAGATCTCTTGTTCCAGGTGAATCGCAGGTCTCGGATGCGTTTGAGGACAGGCCGCAGGGACCAGGGACTATGGTTTTGGCTCCGAGAGATATCTCGGGTCGATCCACTGGTTCTCAAAATCCAGGTCAGTTTGATGAGCGCGAGGAGCGGAAATTCACAGGCTTCGGATACGATGCTCTATTGAGATCAACCGCAGGCTGGGGCAGTAGCTCAAAGCAGGGGTCTGATGCCGATAGGCCCAACCCTAACACTGCCAAGTCTGAGTTTGATAATGGCGAAGATTACAATTTTGCGGATGAGGAGGAGGACCATTCGCGCCGAAATGCGGGCAACCGTGCTGCTGCAAGGCCTAGCCCTGTCGCTGCTAAGTTTGAGTTCGATGATGATGATGAGTACGCCGCATTTGCGGATCGTCGTGATGTGCTAGGATCCGTGATGCTGCGAGGCCCAGGAGCCTCTCTCGTGGAGCCGCCAGGGACCTTCGTGTTGACAGGGACGCCCGAAGCGAGAGAGAGAGAGCCAGGGATAGTCGGGAAGTTCTTCGGGGATTGGAGGCCACCCATGACCGGGAGGGACCGATAGGTCCCCCAGTGATTGGTGATACCCCGAACGTTCCCCCTTTTCCCAACATTACATTTGGAGGTTCGTTGAATCAGAGAGACGAGAATTCGAACCGGGTTACTGGTTCGCCGAGGATCACTGAACGGGCTGCCGATGTCGTTAGGACAGGTGCCCGAGATGGTCGGCTTGCCGATGCACTTGGAATTGAAGATCGTCCGTCGATTGCTAGCCCGTTAGGGCGAGATCCCAGCGACCTTGAAACACTAAGGTCTAGCAACAAGTTCACACCTCAATGGGGATCGACCGCCAGGGAACGTAGTGCTTCCTCGAAGAGGCCGTCGCCCCTGGCCATTGAGACCGATAGGTCAAACTTCACCGTTAGGTTCAACCCAGCAGGATGAGGAAATGTTCGACCCTGCTGATGTTCATATCCATTCTACTCCAGAGTCTCGTGCATCTAATGTTGATCCCCGATCTGGATAGCCGGAGAAGGAGATCAACCCCGAGTAGGCCACCCAGGATTGATGATTGTCCTGTAGGCGACCCCAGAAGAAGATATGCCAGAGCTAGTGGGGCTCCTGAGAGGATCGAGATATCGACTCCTCCAGCCCGCAGATCCCATTCTTCCGGTGAGTCAGGTGACGCTAGGGCAAAGGAGGTGTTTGATTTGCACATCCAGGAGATGCTCGAGAGGGGTGAGGTGTCTGGTTCAGTCGCGAAGGCGTTCCATATTTTTGCTGACCAAATCAGGTTACTGAACGGTCAGGCGGGTTCCATGCGAAGGGAGTGGAGCGACGAGAATCAGCAGACGAAGAACAGGGTCAATCGTTTGGCTACTGAGATTGCGACTCAGTCTGATGCCGATAGGATGCGAATGATAGTTCAGCGGTTTGCCAGCGAAGTTATCCCTGATAGCAAGGCCATTGTGAGGCAAGCCATTGACGAACAGGCTGAGATTGTGGATCAGAGGGTCAACCTGCTTTCCCACGAAGTTCATGAATCCGTTAGGGAAAATGAAGTGTCATTCAGGAAAATCATCAGGCCATCCGCAGGAGTCATGCTGCCTCTGAGGATGAGATCCTTAAAGACTTGGACAAGATCGAGACACGACTCTTCAAGATAGAGAAAGCCGTTGGGATGCGGACGCCGGCAGGTGATCTGACTGTGCAATTGCCCGATAGGGCTGCCAGCAGTGGAGCGGACGCGAATTTCAGGGAACTAAACCTGAGGCTCGAGAAGATCCTTAAGCCTTTTTCCTTCTAATCGGGGTTGTGAAACGCAACCGGGGTTGTTGTTCAGCACCTTTGAAGTGGATTTTAGCGAGGACGGCGGCTACTAGCCTGTCCTTGTAGGCTCGTCCAAGCGATTGACTCGCGTCACGCTCCAGGTTTCCGGCTACGCGCTGGCCAGCAACGCGCTGGACAAAATAGTTTGGCTGCGCAGGGTTGGTTTAGCAAATAGCGCGATTGAATTTTGAAGCGCCGCGTCCAGTCATAAGCAACGCGCACAATCCGCAACAGCCGTTCAACTTCAGGAGGCAACACTAAAACAGTACTGAATGCCCACACACAGATTGTTGTTGTCCGTCTAGCCGGGGCTGGGAAACACAAGCAGGGGTCGTCTTGCGAGCGCTATTCTGCTTCGCGATTACTACTATATGTCCCAGACTACGACTGTCCTCTGTCAGCCTGTCAGCCAGTCATTTTCCTACTGAGCAAAGTTAGTTAAGTGTGTGGAGCTTGCTTCTGGTGCCAGAATGTGGTCCGGACGCCCGTGCTCTTGCCGAGGCCCAAATCTGCCGCCAAAGTGGCCACAGCTCGCTTCAAGCCAACTGGGTTTCAGGTTGTGGTTGAACCAGCAAAGCATTGATAGGAAGAAAGTCGGGACCAACATATCCCACGCCTTGCTTCAACAAAGATTACAACATGGCCCCGCAAAAAGGCAAAATCTGGCGTCGCCCCACGCTTGCTCTGGAACAGGGTCGCGTGCAATGCTGTTGTAGCCAGATTCGCCCAGCGACCTCGGCTGATGTCTGACCAGGTGTTTGAGCTGGCGCCGCTCTTGCTTCAACGTCTGCTTCCGCTTGCAAAACTTGCCGGTTAATGCGCGCAGTGTCTTCGCAGAGGCGCGGCGTTGCGCCCAATAAGCCCAGAATATGACACAACGCTTGCAGCTCTGCTTGTATGTTCAGGACGGCCGTGCTTTGAGCGCAAACATTTTTGCGCAGGCAAACTAACTAACCTCAGAACCAGTTTGCGTGCAGAAATTGTCAGAAGTGGCCTTACGTTGTTCCGGCTGGAGTTGTTCGCAACCTTGTCCACAAGCATACTGGCTCAACAAAGGTCTCAAGGCTCGCGCAGGTGCCTGTCAATCCAACATGCACGGCAGACCGTTCTCAACGCCAGAGGCAGATGTTCCAAGCCGTGCCGGCGACTCTAGGTGAGTTGCGCGCAGCGCGTCTGAAAGTCTTTGCAAAAAAACAAGAGAACCTTTGACGTGATTTTGGGGTCTACTTGTTGCCAAAGGCTAGCAGAAGTGTGCGACCTGAGAAGCGCTGCGCGCAAACACTTGTGATGCGGGATTGCCACTCGAAGGCTGCCTTCCGAATATATGCTTGTAGGGTTCGAGTCTGTCAGCAAACCTTCGCTTAACTGCTTCACAAAGACCGCTGTCAGCAACAGTTTCGAAACCGTCTTGCAGGGACTGCTCTACAGGCAGCCTGCAAGCGCCTCGACGCAAGGCTGTTTCACAAGGTCTGCTCTGCAGAGCTGTTCTGCTGGCGCTGGGCGGTTTGGTCCGCAATTGCAAATACGCGCAGGGCTGCCGCGGCTGACCGCCGTGCAGGGGCTGCCGCGCTACTGTGCAGGAACTGCTGCGGAGGGACTGCTGTGCAGGGGCTGCTGCGGCCTGGTGCGCCAGGGATGCTGGGCAGGGACTGCGCAAGGACTGCTTTGCAGGCACTGGACTGTTGCGCAGAAACTGCTGGTAGCGACTTGAGCGCAAGAACTGCTGCGCCAGCTCAGGGACTGTCCAGGGACTACCTTGCAACGATTGCCTTGCCGGGACTGTTTTGTGCTGTTCAGGGAGCGCCGTGCAGGGACTGCCTTGCAAGGACTGGCGCGCCAGGGTACTGCTCCACATCATGTGCCGTACAGGCACTGTTCGCGGGAAGGGGTTGCTGCGCAGCGCGCAGACTTCTTTGACAAAAGCTGATGCGCCGGGACTGCAGCGCAAGACCGTGCGATGCAGGGACTGTTGCGGAGGGGGTTGTTTGCCGGGTGTTCTGCAAGGGGCGCTTAGCAGAACTTGCGCCCATGGGACTGGTTGGCTGGTCCTACCTTCAGCTGGTTGCCTTGAAGAAACTGCTCTGCAAGGACTGCCTTGTCAGCAGAACCGAAATTCCAACAAGACCAAGAAACACATCAGCAAGAACAACAAGTTTTGTGCAGAATCTTGGCATCCACGGCCGATTTTGTGCAGAATGCGATCAGCGCCGCGACAGTTTGTGCAGAATCCCAACAAAATTCGGCGCAAAATTTTGTGCCGACAT